CTGTCCGTGACCTTTTCTTCTGCTTTTCGCAAAGGCAAAAGATAGGGAAAGCAAATAAACCTGCCAAGAAAAAACAAAAAAAACAAGTTAAAAACAAACCAACAAACAAATAAACCTATAGTCAATTGTATGTGCACATATGTTGAATCTAGTGTCCACAACGGTATTCAAATATTGCTTCACAAATTTCTGTGAACTTTGCCTAGGAAAGACATTTGGACAAGTATGGAAGATACTGTTTTGCAGCAAATTCTCTTTAGTCACTAACTACTCTACAGTTTCACTCCTTTTTTTAGTTTGAGTCTCCTCAAAAGGACTATCCTCATTAATATTTGTGAAGCAGTCAGATCATTACATAAAAAATTCTCTAAAAAGGGACATTATTCCATGTCCTTCACTTAAGTCTTGTCTAGGCTAGTCATTAAGTTGGATGTTAGCATATGTCAACCAATATATTAAAGTGCACAGATACATTTATTTTAGCAGATGCTATGTTAGCTGAGTTAAAAGTCTAGGATTCCCCATAGGTTTTAACATGACCAGTTTAGCATGTTTGAAAGGTTCCTTGTCTTTAACACACACAAGCTAATATCATATTTTTTAGCCCATTTCAGGCAAAACCTTATTTTATTCTTAAGTTGTTCTGTAAAAGTACAGTGGGTTTTTTTTTTTTTTTTTACCACAATCAAGTTTGTAATAGTGAAAAAATAGTTTTTAGAAGAGAAGTTAAGCTTCCAAATTGAAACAGTGGTGCCCTGAGTTTTCCTTCATGCATACTGGTAAGAAGGCTGAGGCCTTGTTTTTCAGAGATTAGTGTTCTACCATACTATTACAAAAAACTACTAAAGTCATTACCTTTACTTTGGTAAATGTCATAAAGAACTGTCAAATACAGATTGTGAAATTATGTCTGTTGAATGGTTCACAACTCCTATGAAAACTACTTTTATAGCTAAATTGGCAGCACATGTTGCTATAATTACTGCAATTTCAGAGATTTACTATAAATAATCAATATGTCTTTGAAACTGCACAATATTGCTCTTTATGATCATCTCAGTAATCTGATCACAGCCTAGTTTACAATTTAAAATTTTGCCATGGTATACCATGTTATAACACAGCAGAACCCTGCTAGCATAGATACTGTTGACAGAGGCAAAGAAGTGCTTTTGCCAGTACAGCTTATATTAGTTTGGTACAAAAAAATAGCCTTTGCCAGCAAAAGCATTTTGTCTCAGCATCACTGTAGTGTTTTGTCTGCTGGTCACTACAAAAATATTACCCCAAAACCATGCTACTAACTGATGCTTAGAAAAACGTCCAGTGTACTAGAACTGGAACTGGCTTAGGATTCAAGATTCTGATTAAGAACAATGTTTGAATTGGTCATCAACAGGTAAAATACCCCAAATACAGCAGTCAACTAACAGGTACTTTCCTTACCAACTTGGAGCATGCTAGAAAAGTTATACTGCTATAAGTCTATCAGCTACAGATGCGAACTTTTACTGGAAATTGGAATTCATCTTTAAAACAGTTTCCTAGAAAAACCAAGCTAATTACATGTGTGGATACTTACAGAAAGTTATAACATTTTCAACTTTTAAAATCTTTACTGACCTACCTACTTCAAGACTTATACATACAGACACTGTTATACCAGGTTAAAGGAGTCCTACACCTGTATATTTCAGTCCGGGACTACACTACAGACTTCTGCTGACATAACAGTGCTGTTGAGGTGCAAAAAGCCGTGCTCTGTGATGAATGTAACCATGCCTGAAGTCCCTAACATAGTGCTCCAATGCACGTGCAGGGAGGCTGCTCCAATGCGCTGTAATCACAGCTTGTTGGAGCAGACTCAATCAACTCTGCTGAAGCGTGGTAATTACCGCACTGCAGGAGACTCCAGCGTCATGTGTATTGGCATCCCCATGCTGAAAAATGGTGGCGGGGGCACTTTAACTGAAGCTTGTTGAACGAGATTCAGTTAAAGTGTCCCCACCGCCATTTTTCAGTGCAGAGATGCTGATACACGTGATGCTCTAGGCACTTTAATTAGTGCAGCTCAGAGAGCCATGCTAATTATAGTGCCCCCTGCCCACTGGAGCATGTCTATAAACGCCCATACAGTCAGTTCCAGTGGTAAGCACTGCTTCTGTTAGTACAATGTCTTTCACCTTTGGCAAGATTCTTATTATCTTGCCAAAGATAATAGATATAGGGCAGAGTGCAGCTCTGCAAGACTAGCTGCCTCTTGCAGAAGTGCTTTGACAGTACAGCATGCTGACATATCTATATGAAGAAAAGACTCCTGAGCCTGAACATAGCTTTAATTTGCTTAACACAAACCAGGATTAAGTAACAACAATATAAGCAGTTTTAAATCAATAACGGAGTCATCACAAAAAAAAGTTTTTACTGTCAGTCGTATAGTCAAAGTGACTAAACTTCTTTAATGTAGACAAACTTTGAGTGTTCTTGACTTATTCTTTGTAAAAATAGCTGGTTAACATCAACCTTCCACATGACAAAATAGCTATCACATTTTAGGCGTTACATTATATGCAGTTCTTACCTATTACAATAGCTATGGCTCCCAGTGCCAGTCCCAAAACCAGTATTAGGGGTGTAATGAGCAACTTTCCAGCTGAAAAACAAAAATAATTTAAATAAATGAGTGTTACCATGGACCATTGGGTCCTCAACCTTTTTAGACTCAAGACATCCCTCAGAAAATGCCAGCTTTAGCTTTCATTCATTTCTTGACTATGGACAAGTAACAGAGCAATTCTTCTGCTGCAAAGAATTCATTAAGACCACAATGAGCAGAATATTTTTTACGCTATGGACTCCTATTTGAAATCTTTGGGTTTATCTTATGAATTACATGTAGGCTGGGGCACCCTAGTTAAGAATTGCCACCACAGACTCACTGAGCCAGAAAGGACCTCAAGGGTTACCTCATCCAATCCCCAATATTATTTAATCTTTCCAGCCACCCACAAAATACGTGAAAAGTGCTCCAGGCCACTGAGTGTGGTTACCTACATTGACAGGCAACCACATGTCCAAAATGATCCAAATAACCATCTATTCTGGCCCTCCTTGTACGTCACAGCTACAAAGCATCCTATAAAAAATCCTATGACATGTCACAGGCCAAGAGTAGGGGGGTACAAAGGTGTAAGCAAGGCTCAGGACACTACAATGGCAAGGAACTTAGGTTAAAGTATATTCAGATGATCCTAGGAATGGGAAAATACTGCAAGCTACACAAGGCGGCAAAAAGTCATAGTGGTTCTTGCCAATCTGGTCTGGGGGAAAATTCCTTTCTGATCTCTCTGGTCCAGTTATCTGTTTGAATCTGAGCACTGGAACAAGACTAAAGCCAGGCACCAAAGAGGTTTCTAAGTACTGAAGGTCCATCAGCAAACTGCACTCAATGTCCAATGTGTCAAAGCATTAAAGCTAGCTGAGTTAGGTTTATGTAACACTGATTATTCACTGACGTAAGGAGTGTAGTATACACGCACTGAAAGATGGGAAAGACTAAAGGTACTTAATACTTCCTATAATATTGACTAACAGCTTCATCATTCTTTGTACCATGAAGATTTGGATTCCATCCAAGGTACAATTGAATAGAGATTGGAATTCAGTTAAATATACAAAAACAGCATTTTATAACTGTTTCCTAAAATTCCATCAGAGAACTTATACCACTTGATTTTCTTTTTAAATCAATTTACATTATTTTAACAAAGTAAATTTGGGTCTCAATATAGTTTGTGAATGTTCACATCTACTTTTAAAACAGGTTTATTTCAGAAAGGAGTTGTTCCAAAAATGATTTTAATGCAGAGTGACTTTTTACTCATTTCCTTAAATAAGAACATAGTAAATACCATGATGGGTTGAGTCAGTGGTACATGTGGCTCAGCATCCTGTCTCCAATAGCAGCAGAAGTGGCCAACCTGCTGCGCATGTAACACAAATGGACCACAAGTGAAGCTATTTATTTGGCACATGGCAGATCAGGCAGGGGGTGGAATGAAGAATAAGGGAGAGAACCAAGTGGCAGAAGAAGGTGAGAAGCAGAGCAACAGGTTGAGGCAAGGATGAGGAGCAGATTTGGGATGGGGTGAGAGTCTAAGTGGGATTGGGCTGGGATCAAGGCAGTAGGTGAAGGAGAGAGTGAGAAGTAGAAGATTGACCAGGTGAGAAGCAAAGTGGGATGGGGGGGAGGGAGAGGGTGCAGGGAGGGGATGAAAGGCAGAGAAGACAGACCTGGCTGGGAGCAAAGCAGTAGATGGGGGAGGGAATAAGATCGCTTATGCAAGAACATCCAACAAGAGAGACCTTTTCTTAATTTATTCTTAAGATCTGTTTCTTCTACAAAGCAAATAAAGCCACATAGTTGTGCACACGTTTTGTAGTTTATTTAACTTTCAGTTTTCCACAACATTTAGCAACTCTGTAATAAAGGACACAACAGTGCATGGGCAGATCCAGGATATACTAAAGGGGGTGTGGCATACTACCCCTTGAACTATTGGGAATGAAGGCAAGGCATGGATTGAATGACATGGGAAGCCAGGCAGGGAGCAGGTGCATGACAAGGGGATAAACCTGGCCCCACCAGCACTGCTGCTGCTGTCCCCAGCTGACCTCAGTAGGGGGCTCAGAAGCTGACTGTAGATGTGCAGGGCTGAGGCTGCTCATTCCCTCCACCCCACTCCAGTCAGGGGGTGTGGGAAGTGGTTGCATGGGTTGCCAGGCTTAGACAGTGATAGCAGCTATAGCATGCAGGTTCCTCCTTCCAGCCCCTGCTCCCTCCTCACCTGTTCTCCCCACAGGCATCCCCCCACTGGCCAGGAGCAGGCACTGGAAGAAGGAGTCTGCATGCCATTGCCCTCAGCTGAGCTAGGCTCTCCATGCAGCTACTTCCTGCACTGTGGGGGAGGAGCAGGTCAGGAGCAGCCTAGGTTAGCTGGGGATACCAGCAGGAGCAATGGAAGAGGTGCGTGTCCACACCATTGAATTTGCCCCTTGGATCTGCCCCTGCTACAAATGTCCACTAATCTCAATGCTTTTAAAACAGTAACTGAGACCAGATTTTTCATTCATTTCTTCTTTATGATCTCATGAAACATCCTTTTCTTTTTTATCCTCCTGTGAACTTCCACAGATATTCCTCATAGGTCTGTGGAAGACTCAAAGGTTTAGCAGGCTCTCTAATCAAATTTTATTCCTCTAAATTGATGTAACATCCCTAAGTTCTTTTAACTCCAGAGAAACAAACAGGCACAGTTACATTTGCTGAATTGGTGAGCTAAATGATGAACAGCCACAGTGGTGTCTGCTAAGTTAGGTTTTCTGCATCTGTCCTCATTGCATTATTATTTATACCTGTGCCTTATCTTGATGCATGTGGTGAGGAGGTTTCAAAAAGCACTTCTCATTTCCTGTCTGGTTTCACCTGTGAGCACAAACTGCTCTTTGGAATTCAGAGACTGATCTATGATATTTCCCTTCAGAAAGGCAAAGAAAAGCAGGGCAATGGCTGGCTAGGGAGGAACCACAGCTGTGATATGTTTACATTTTCAAATAATTACAACATGTATATGCAGTTCCATGGTTTTTAAAGGGGAGATACAGGAGCAACAACCAGTGCTACAAGGGTGGCTGTACCCCTGCTCTTAGTCTCTCCCCCAGGGTAGGTAGACCACACTGTGGGAACAGCAGCTGGGCACTTTTTTTTAGGTTTTTAAGTCCTTGAGACAGGTAATAAACCTCCCTCCTCACTTTTGGCACCCTCTCCCCCACCCTCTATGCTCAAAGGCATCTCCCCTGCCCTTCCATTCCCTCACTCACTCTCTACTTCTGCCTCTGGGCTCAGAGACCTACTTATCATTAATGCTGTCCTAGCTGCAGCTGCTGCTGGGGACAGGGATGTACTCTTGTTGGGGAACACCTAGGGGAGTGGGCAGGGGGCAGAATCTGCCCATCACCACTAATGTTTGGAGCTGAACCCAGCTCCACCTGCAGCCTGGCCAGAGCAGGGAAGAGCAGCGTTGAAGTTCCCCTGGGCCCAGGTCAGCCAGGGACAGCGGCAGGGCCAGGCAGGGGAGCAGGGAGGAAAAGGAGTGGAAGGAAGCTACTGCTGAGCACAGAGGAGAAGGGAGCAGGTGCTGAGAGTCGGAGGAGTGGTGGATTCATATCTACTTAGGGGACTTAAAAGTCCCTGGCTGCTGCTCCAGCAGCATTACCTGAAAGGGAGATGAGAATGTGCCACTGCAACACCCCCCCCCCCCACCCACACCCCCCCCCACGGGGACTTAAAAGTCCCTGGCTGCTGCTCCAGCAGCATTACCTGAAAGGGAGATGAGAATGTCCCACTGAACCCCCCCCCCCCCACACACACACTGCCCTACCTTATACCACTATGTTTCTCTAGCACCTGCTCCAATTACTCTGCATAACTCCTGGAAGGATGTGGGGTTTCTCTCTGCATCCAGTTTCCCTGATGTTCCTGACTTGTCATACAGCTGGTGCTTCTCAACACTGGTCACATCTTTTGCCAAAGTCTTTTCATAAGAATTTGACCCCCTGCTCCAGAGATGTGCAGTGGGGAGGCAGTTGCCGGGAATGGTTGTTTCTTGCTCAGAAAATTCATTAGACAATCCTGAGAGAAGAGCCTATTTGCTTTATTTCCCTGCTCATAGTTAGTTTTTCTGGTCTTTGAAACCATGAAAGCCCAAGACAAATCCTGAATTCCACAAAGCTTTGTCATTTATAACATTCCAGAACTTGCACATCTGGTGTTGGGGATATACACTCTAAAGGTATATTAATTGCATTATTAAATTTGTAGCAGATATGCAGTAATGTTAGGTTTCAGTTATTATGTAAGGAATTTGTCTCAAAGCAGCAGTCATTTTTTAGAACTTCAGTGGTCTCAATGCCCATTTTAATATATTCCCTCTAGAACACGGGTATCAAATTAATCTGGCCCCATGGGCTGCATGAAGGGTGCAGATCCAGTCTGCATACTGGATTGGGCTCAAAGACTGGCCCCACAGCTGCACTTAGCACGTGCCTCGAACCATCTCTGCATGCTGTGTGCAGTATGCAGCACATGTGGCATGTGGGTTCAGGGCCAGGGCCACAATGAGGACGAGTATGTGGTGTGTGGCCAGTTCAAAAAACTCACAGGCAGCACCCAGGACAGATGATAAAGATGATAAAATATGGCCCATGAGCCATATTTTTGACACCCAGCTCTAGAATTATCAGAGTTCCTACTTTTTAGGGGTCACTAATGATTTATAAACTGTATTAACAGAAACAGAATAAAGCAGTGGTGATTCACCCATGGCATGGTCAGCATCTGTGCATGCCATGTGGCAGATCAGAGGGGAAGGAGATCAGAATAACACTTGAGGTTGGAGCATAGGGCTTACCTTGTAGTACGCTTGCCAAAGTTTGGCTACCACTGCTTTAGATGGGGAATGTATGAACAGGGTATGCAAGTAATCTCTCCTTTGTTCAATACCTTCCCTGGCATCTGCTTTCATTGATACAAGAGCTAGAGGATACATCCCTGACTGTTCTGTTTTTGTGCTCCCCATCTTCCTCATCTATTTT